TATATATATATATATATATATATATATAAAACCCCCATAAGGGGTTTACTTGGTGTGCAACGCTGTTCAGGTGGGTGGAGTGCATCAGGTAGCGAGGATCAAGATCTTCTTTTGTTGTTTTTGGCCAGTTTTCTAGCCAATACATTTGGAATTACACTGCACAGCCTATAGAATTAGGCTGCAGTAATAAAATGCATTACATTCTATAGCCTAAATTTCTGCATTTTTCTGTATCATAATTAGGGATGCGCGCGATTACATGTCTAAATGATTAAACGTCCGCCCCCTCGCTAGTCGGCACCAGAAATATTAGTTAGTTGAACCAATTAGTAATTTTTTAACTGTCATGCAGCCGCCCGCCACTAGTGGAGGCTACAGAGCCGTCAGACAGCAGTCCCCCTCCCCGCGGTAATGCTCGAGTTGACTGGAGTTTTATAACAGCATGGTGGAAATTGGAGAGATGTCCTCTTGCAAAACCAACGCGGTTTGGCAGTACTTTGATCTAGAAAATAAATTCAGCAGCTTTTTATCTTTTTTGAGATGTTATAGGCTATTATTTGTTAACCTTGTTAACCGTGAGTTTTTGTCAGATAATATGCAGGGTTTACATTCATACTGCTCGGTGCAAAGTGCCAGCTGAAATGTATTTATAATTTAGATGTTGTTTTATTAACTTAAAGTGAACTGCAATAATTTTTGTTGCATAATCTGCAAGGTTAAATTTACTCAACATTTCAGACTCAATTTATTCATGTTAGATGTTATTTTAGTGGTTAACTTTTGACTGAGTTGCCGTCATGTTCACATTCATACCGCACAGTGCAAAGTATTTCATACGTGTCTCAGCATTTAAAATCCGAAATGGTAGTTTAAGATTGTGATTAAAGGCTTCAAAAGGCTCTAATGCACACAATAGGCCTCATTCACAAACAGCGCGTTCGCACAAATCTGTGCTTAAATTGTGTGTACGATTGTTCGACACACAAATCCGGGATTCATCAATATTTTCTTCCCCGAATTTGTTCTTACTCTGCGAACAAATTTAGAACTGCCTCAGACCATGCATACGCACAAATGAGAATGGCTGAACTGACTTAAAAAATGCAAACACATACCTGCAGAGTCTATAAAACCACATTCATTAAAAAGAGATTTAATTAACATTTTTTAAAATCATTTACTAATATATTGGCCAAATGTATTAAATAACCATGAAATTGACACACGTTCACCCTCATCATTGTGACAATTAAAATATTAACAACAACATGAACAGAAAAAACTATCACTCCATGCAACATGCAGATGATCTGTAATGCCAATGGCCATATCCTTAATGCTGTGGCCCGCTGGCCAGGAGGCACCCATGACTCATTTATTTTGCAAAACAGTACAGTGGGAATGCGTTTGGAGGCAGGGGCTGTGAGAAGTGGATGGCTTGTTGGTGAGCATCTTTTGTTCTAGTCTTTTATTTCATTTGTTAAGGTTCCGAAAAGGTTCAGGTCATTAGGAACTCAATGGGTCTCATGCATGAAACGTGAGCAGAAGGAATTGATGTGTAAACTGTTCGCAGACGGAAATTTACGTGCATGTCCGCATTCATCAATATTTTAGTAGCTCCGATCTTTTCGTAGCTACTAACAAAATCTACTCCTGCTCCTGACCACTCGTAGTGCTTGTGTAAATTTAGTAAAGCACATAAATATTGCTTTTCACTATTGGAAATTACAATTTTAATTCGTATTGCGCTCTGTTATGTACACAATACACAGATGCCTTTGAAACATGTAATCTAAACATCAGGTTTAAGATCCAGATTAGGTTCATGATTGTGAATTATCTATGTAAATCGGCTCAATAGATTACACGTCTTTCTACATGTTGAATGATGATAATAAAAATATCCGTAAGGACAGCTGGATCACAGCCTCTTCGGCTTCAGTGCCTGGGTTCAGCAGGGGCAGCAGGGGCAGCAGGTGATGGAGACAACACGTTTTTTTTTTTTGGGCTTTTTGATCATTTGAATGAATAAATCTGATCTGAAAAATGTTTAATTTACATTGTATAAAACAGAGCTTTAGGCTATTAAGATTCAAATAATTTTCAGACAATGCATACAAAACTGCTGTAGGCTATATGTTATCCGTATCATTTGTTAAAATAAATGTTAAATAGCTCTACATTCCGACAGCCATCACTGATTTAGAGTTTACCCATTACGCACAAAACATCTCTGGTTTCCCGTTCCTACTTCATTCAAAACCCCACAAATGAATCTTCTGTTTGTTTGGTGACCGCTGTATTTTTTGTGCGTGTGTTTATGGTGCGTGCGTGGGTTTCTTTGCCTCCAGTTTCATATCAAACCATTTACGCTTCACGTCTGACATGATTCTTTGTACAGAGACAACATTAACAGCATTTGTTACCTCCCTCCAGACCTTCGCTTTGCCTGTCCCTGTCACACCACTACTAACTGAAGAAAATAAAATGTTTTTTCTTAAGTCCACTGCACCCAAAATTATTTCGATCTTCACTTCGGAAAAATTCTTTTTTCTTTCTCTCTCTTTCTTTGTTTGCACCATGACTGACAGGTCGACTGGATGCACCTACACCTCCTTATATGGTGGTCATTGGCTATTCACGGGCAGGGATTTATGCTAATTGCTGATTACCGGGAGCGCGCTGTCACTTTACGATGGATTGGCATTCATGATCATACACACGTGTTTACAATCAAATCTGAGTTTCCCGCGGCATTCCTGAATCCGGAGTAGGTTTTTAGTAGCGTAGGCTTTTATGTGCAAATCTACACACAGATTTACTCACTTTTTATGAATGAGACCCACTGACTCCACCTTCAGCATTTCTTAATGCGATTCTTTCAGCAGCTGACAGTGGCCAAGCATGTGAATAATTGCTCTTACTGCAGCTTTTGATACACTTGACCGCTTGATTTTTAGGGAAAGCCTTTAGCATTGGGGTAGGCATATTGGATATGATTGACTTTCTGTGTGGCCACTGGCCATCATAAAACTTTTATTACCCAGTTAACTCATGGAGTCTCTCAGGATTTAGATTTTTGTCTGCTATTATTCTCCATTTATATGACGTCAGATCTATCAGAACACAATATTAGTTTCTAGTTCCAGTGCAGATGATTTCTCTTTTGATTCCAGCAACACAACACATGTCCTCCTGCTTGAAACCCTAGTGAAGAAACAACAGGCTTAGTTGTCATGTGATATCTGGTGCTTCCTGCTCCTCCACAACACTTCAAAAAGTGGATCTTTTTGATGTGCAAAAAACATGCTGACATGAAACTGTCATGCATGCTTTTATTACATCCTGGTTAGAAAACTGTGACTCTTTATATTTCTGTCTGCGTCAATACAACATGTCCAACCTTTAACTGGTCCAGAATGCTGCAGCAAGTCAAGATCCAACAAAACAATGTTCCTAACCCCAGTCTTAGCATAGCTACATTAGTTACCTTTATGTTTAGAATAGATTTTAATATTTACTTTTAAGGCATATATGGGGTTGGCCCCTGGCTGCATCTCTGACATGTCAGCCTGAGGCCTTAGTCGTTTTTGGTCAAGGCTGAAAACCAGAAGAAACCAGCTCTTTGGAGTCAGGACCCCTCGATTCTGGAACAACCTGCCTGAGGAGATCAGGCAGACATGTTCTGTTTCTCCAATTAAACCTCTCTTAAAAAGAAATCACTTTAAAACAGCATTCTTCTCAACTGTCTTTGTGTTTTTAATCCATGTGTTGGTGCAATTATGTTTTAACCTTATTTGGTACTATTTTCATTTTTAAATAATCTAATGGCATCGTCATCTGGTTTATCTTGATTTTATGTTTTTCATAAAGCACTCTGTGACTTGTTTTTGAAGTGCTTTATACATTTTTATTATTACTGCGTTCTCCTCCCTTTACAACCTGTGCTTCAGAGCCCTGCATTCTTTTTCATTCATATTATTTCCATGTTAATGTTTCTCATCAAAAGACTGATTTATTTAAGTTTCCTCTCAAAAGTGATTGACTACTCACATAATGCACCCCTTTTGACAAAAAAACAAAATATTACAACTTCATCTAAGCCACAAAGACTTAATCTTACTACATTTCAGTGTAATATATATATTTATATTATATCTTATCTTAATCAAAATTCAGAACCTGAAATGTTCCTGTGTTTAGGAGAACTGTTGCTGGTAATTTTAAAAAATGTAGAAAAAAACTGTGGACTCTCATTCTCTTTAAATGTAAATTGCTGAGGAACCTGATGAAAGCAATAGCCAAAAGATAATCAACCTTTCTCTCGTAAGTACGCACAGTAGTTGTCATATTCATACCATTGAGCCCCTCTACATCCTGAACATCCAGGAAGGGAGCGGGTCCCCAAATTCGGACGGTCCCGTCATCTGAGGCGCTGGCCAGCAGTCCAGGCAGGACAGGGTTCCAGCTCACACAGTTGACTGTGCGGGTGTGACCAGTCAGCTCTGCGATGGGCAGCTCACTGCGCCGGTGCCAGATGTAAACTTTGTGGTCTGACAGGAGACAGGACAGGACTTCATCAGCTGCTACCAGTTTACTGTTTACTGTGTTACTGGTGTTACATAGTTTTCAGGCACACATCAATTACATTATTTGCCCAATGAGGCTTTGCAGTAGCAGGGGTCTGATTTTACTTATAAGAAAGAGAGAGTTGACCAAAAAGAACGTGGTGGAGGATCTGGAATCAAAATGAAAGCAAAAGTGCGTACTTGGCAATATTTCAGGGTCAACCTCAGGGCAACAGGGAACCTGATAACATTGGTTGGTTACATCGCCAAGAAGTTAGAGGTGTGAAGCCTGTTACCTGCAGCTGCTCATCTAAAGCAGGATTTTATACTTCTGCTTTGAATCGACACCGTACCAACAGCGTAACTGCATAACCTACAACTCAGTCTGACATGCACCTCTACAGAAATGTAACTACACGTCACAGCGACTTAGACCTCCTGTCTATTTTTGTAAGCTGTAAACCATTTCCCTCAGTAGAAACAAAGCTTTCAATTACTTTTATTTTATAGATGAGAAACAATAGGCTGTGAGGACAATAAAACACCCACAAAAAAGCATTAAGTCCTGTGTGTGATTTATACTGGCTTCATATGAATAGAGGAAATCTCCACTTGTTGCTAGGCTAATCTATACAATGTAAAATGCCATAGGCTTGTGGCAATAACGTTAACATGTTATATTTGTGTGGAAAACGTGTTTAGTATAAGACAATTGTTTTGTCAGTGAATCTTGTGAGTTGTAATGGAGCCAAAACATGTAACGTTACATTTTCTTAAAAGTTGCTGTTGTTCCTGGCTTCATATGACTAGAGAAAATGTCAGCAAGCCGCTAGGCTAATTTGAACAATTTAAAATGCTATAGGCTTGTGCTAATAACATTAGCATGTTGTGTTTGTAGGGAAAATCTGTCCAGCAAAAGACAAGCGTTTAGGATTTGTGTACTTATGTTTGAAACTGTCTCTATTAGGCCATGTTTAATGTGTGTTTTGGGTATGTTCTGAATCAACTAAACTTTACAGCACAAACTACAGCACAGAAATCCCACTGCTGACTAGTGTTTTGGAGGTGTAACTGCAGAGTGACACAGACACACAACCGCACACGCATAAATGCTCACAATGACGTAGGCCACCTGTGTAGGCTACATCATAGGCTGTGTATAGAGCTGACACACAAGTATAAATCCAACTAAACAGCTCATTATGTCTGCTCCTGCCTGTTCATTTTGACCTTTCTTTTTTCATCTGTCTGTCCCTGGTCCACAACAGAAAGCAGCTGGTCTGAGCTTTCCTCTAAACATTATGTTGTCTTGCCTTCACTACCACTTGCGATAAAGTCTTCATTGTGCCCTCCGAAGCAGGAGTGGATGGTGTAGAAGCCCTGGGTCACCCCTTGGTACTTCCTCACCAGCACCCGGTCCTGCAGGTCCCATAGGTGCACTCCCTGAAAACACACAGCATTTATTGAGACACACATTACAACATTAAACAGACCTGGTATTAAAGCAACCAGCCGAAGTTCTAATGTAAGGGAAGTTATACTGTATTGTGGTGTGGATGTGAGGAAGTAAGAAGCTGCTCACCTGAGTTGCAACATTGAGCAGAGCTAACCTTCCGTTTTTGGAAACAGTGAAAGACATGATGGGGTGGTCCTCCTGCACTCTGCAATGACACAACACACATCATCAACCACAAGCAAAGCAAATACTGCTGAACAGAGAAGCTCACTGCTTCAACGCAGCCCAAAAAAATACATACATAACAAAAAAAGGAGAATTGCCTGCATAACTGGTAGGTTAAACATACACAGCTACATGTGTAATGCCACCCATTCAATTAACCAGAGCAGTTTTCCACACATTTATTTCTTTGTGTTGGCCTGTCACAATTAAAACATCTGCTACCACATTTTCATTACGAGCGCTGTAGTAATACGGAGTGCTGGGCACAGACTGAGATGCAGAATCATTGAAGCAAAGTGAAAACATCAATCCATGTCATCATCATCAGGATCCGTTTCTATTTCGAAAGTCTGTGTCACCATCAAAAAGCAGCAAGCAGACTGCAAGCAGCCAAGAGAAAGATGATGAGGATAGCGTTATTTACTCAGGAATAAATCAGCAATGTGGAAATATTTTGGATTACGAAGAAAATACAAGTCAATACATGAAGCATATGCTGTATGTAAACAATGCTGTTATGAGATAAAACATGTGCATCTCATTCTGTTAACTGCTCATTACAAGCTGCTCTGTTCATCAATGTCCGGTTGAAAAAACACGCATACAGGCTTAAATTCAACCGTGCTGTCATGTCAGGAAAGGCAGTGACTGAACCAACGGTGAGTAAGAGAAAGTAACGTTACATGGAATTTGTAAGCTATGAGTAGAGAAATAAAAGCCTGGCAGCCTCTAGGCTAATTTATGCAATGTAAACATGCTTGAGCTAATAATGGGTCACTAGCAAAACAACAACTGCTTTGTCCATGAGCCTTAACAGTTATTACTGAGCTGAATTTGTTTTGTTAAACGGTGTTGTTGTTAATCCATGTTTCCTGTCTGTTGGGTGAAGTTTGCCTTCAAGGCTTTAAGATATTCCTGAAGTAAAAAGCCCTGAAAGCTAACTTATCCCATGTGCTGTTTCAGTTACAGGAGAACCTGCTAACCCTTTTTTTTTTTTTTTTCACGTTTGGCTAGACACATGGAACACACTGCAGAGGCAAGGTATGAATTACTACTAATTAATATTTATCCTGATATTATTTGTGCTTTTATTATTTGAAGTGACAGTACACCTCATCATGTTTTACAGCAAAGAGGACTTGACCGCTGCAGACATTGTTTCAGAACTCTCAACAGAGATCACAAAAACATCTTACAGCAGGTTCAATATTAATAGAGACAATGGCCCTCATTTATTAATCTTGTGTGGAAACAGGTGCAGATCTGAGCGCAGTTCGTATCTGACCAATCCCAGCGTACGAATGATCAGGCCTTGATAAATGCGGCGGCTGAAATCAGTCGTCATTAGCATGTCACTATGGAGTTAGATTTGTCTCATTAATACCTGTAAATGCATAGAGGGTGATCTACAAATATTTCTTGATCTGCACACATTTCATAATTATGTGTGTGAACAGATCAACAATCTGTGTGTAAATCAATCAATCAATCAATCAATTTTATTTATAAAGCCCAATATCACAAATCACAATTTGCCTCACAGGGCTTTACAGCATACGACATCCCTCTGTCCTTATGACCCTCACAGCGGATAAGGAAAAACTCCCCCAAAAAAACCCTTTAACGGGAAAAAAAAAGGCAGAAACCTCAGGAAGAGCAACTGAGGAGGGATCCCTCTTCCAGGACGGACAAACGTGCAATAGATGTCGTACAGAACAGATCAGCATAATAAATTAACAGTAATCCGCATGACACAATGAGAGAGAGAGAGAGAGAGAGAGAGAGAGAGAGAGAGAGAGAGAGAGAGATGCAGGTAATGACAGTAGCTTACAACAACATTATTGAAAGTAATAATATTATAGTCATAGTTCTGGCTACTGTGGTACAATATGTTGAAAGTATGTATTAATATCTGGCAGTATACATGTGTGACAATAGTCATATGTGTATAATAACAGTAGAAGTATGACTAATGACTAATGATGGCAGCAGCAGCAGGAGGCATCTAGCAGGACCACAGCAGCAGCACAACCACACACGTCACGCTGTCCTGGCACCGCTGCGATATGAGTTAATCTGAGAGACAGTGGAGCACAAAGGCTCCGGAGAAGAAGCCGAGTTAGTGACATCCAGAATGGCCGAGTTAGCAAGATGCAGTAATAGAATACGAGAGCGAGCGAGAGAGAGAGAGAGAGAGAGAGAGAGAGAAGGAGAGAAGGTGCCCGGTGTATTATAGGGGGTCCTCCAGCAGACTAGGCCTAAGTCAGCCTAACTAGGGGCTGGTACAGGGCAAGCCTGAGCCAGCCCTAACTATAAGCTTTATCAAAGAGGAAAGTCTTAAGTCTAGTCTTAAATGTGGAGACGGTGTCTCCCTCCCGGACCGTAACAGGAAGATGATTCCACAGGAGAGGAGCCTGATAGCTGAAGGCTCTGGCTCCTGATCTACTTTTGGAGACTTTAGGGACCACGAGTAACCCTGCGTTCTCAGAGCGCAGTGTTCTGGTGGGATAATATGGCACTATGAGCTCGCTAAGATATGACGGAGCTTGACCATTTAGAGCTTTATAAGTTAACAGTAGGATTTTAAATTCAATTCTGGATTTTACAGGGAGCCAGTGCAGAGAAGCTAAAACAGGAGAAATATGATCTCGTTTCTTAGTTCCTGTTAGTACACGTGCTGCTGCATTCTGAATTAGCTGGAGAGTTTTTAAGGACTTACTAGAGCTACCTGATAATAGAGAGTTACAGTAATCCAGCCTAGAGGTAACAAAAGCGTGGACCAATTTTTCTGCATCTTTTCGGGTCAGGATAGGCCTAATTTTGCAATATTACGCAGATGAAAAAATGCAGTCCGTGAGGTTTGTTTTAAATGAGAATTAAAAGACAAATCTTGATCAAATATTACTCCGAGGTTTCTTACGGTAGTGCTAGAGGCCAGAGCAATGCCATCTAGAGAAACTATGTCATCAGATAAAGAGTCTCTGAGTTGTTTGGGGCCAAGAACAATAACTTCAGTTTTGTCTGAATTTAACATCAGGAAATTGCTGCTCATCCAAGTTTTTATGTCTTTAAGGCAGTTATGGAGTTTAGTTAATTGATTACTTTCTTCTGGCTTCATCGATAAATACAACTGAGTATCATCCGCATAACAATGGAAATTTATAGAGTGATTTCTAATGATGTTACCTAAAGGAAGCATATATAGAGTAAATAGGACTGGTCCGAGCACAGAACCTTGCGGAACTCCAAAACAAACTTTGGTACGTAAGGATGATTCATTATGAATGTCAACAAACTGAAAACGATCAGATAAATAAGATTTAAACCAGCTCAGTGCAGAACCTTTTAGGCCAAATAAATGTGTAATTTGTAAATATAAAACACATTCCACAAATACAAAGAATATCTGTGAATACATTAAATTAATTTGCAAATAAATGAAAAGCATTTGTGAATACCTTCCTAACATTTACAACTTTTGAACAGGCATTTGTGAACTCAGTTTTTATTTGTGAATCGAAAAAACATTTGTGGATCTCAGTTCTACGTGTGTGGATTTGCTTTTTACACACACGGATTTTTGAGACAAACTTTCCGCCGGTCCAAGCGAAAATGCACTCGTATCACTCGGCCATCTTCGGATAGCACATGATCACCCAGCTGATGACATCATTTCTGCATGTGAAAGTAAGAGCACGCAGTCTTTCTATGAGCTGTTTTTTGTTGTTGTTTTTTTAATAATAATCAGCGATAAGTAACCTGCATTCATTGTTTTATGTTAATGTCATACAATGAGTATTAGTGTGTGTTTATTTGTTCTATGTATCTTGCACACACTTTTGTATACATTCTGTTTGAGTATGAAAGGCACGGTGGCTTGGCTGCTTCTTCAGTTGGCAGTTATCAGCCAACTCATCCTTTATATTTTTCATTTATTCTTTCGAGTAGGATTAAAGTCACAAAGCACTTCACATCTTATTATTAGTGTACTCTTACTAATGTAGTTATAATGTCTGTGCTGACCACACCGTGTCTAGTTAGGTTACATCGTTTCAGTGAGGTTACGTTAACTGTTGTAAGATATGACAAGTGACAACACCCTGGTTAAGGTCTTTGATAGAACAGCTGTTGGTGTTGGTAGCTCTTTTTGTTTATAAATGTAATATTGTAGTTGTATTGTTCATTGTTAATATGTAGATTGCGTTAAGCTAACGTTAGCTACCGAACAAGCATCGGCTGCCATGGCAACAGTAAACATTTATGTTGCGGGCTGGGGGGGACAAAAGCAGGGTGCTGCATTTTATACATTGTAAATAGACCAGAAGTCAGTACCACCCAACCTGTAAAGAGGGCCACGGTAGAAGATGCTGGTGAATGACATCCAGACATCTCTCCACAACCTTTCAATGCTAGTGCAATCAGTACAAAATTATGGGGTTTAAGATTTAGACATTTTCAGCACAGCATTTAAAAGACCATTTTATCATTAAACAATAATAGAAAATAAATA